TTTACTAAAACAAGTAGTTTCCAAATGAAAGTGTTTATAACAAAGTAATGAACCGTTTAAAAAAATAAAAATCTCACCGCTGCAAACCAATTGTAATGGGGTATTTTCTGGAAACAGTTAGTCCTACTAATGTTGGTAGCATGGCTTGGATTGAGCAACACAAGATCACAAGGATGCTGTCGTCAGCTTGAACATACTCAGCTGATATGATATTTCTTCCAGTGAAGCTACAGCTTGTTACCTAAGACTATACACCATAAGTTTTCTTCTGAAGCTGATCACATCGATCGATGAACTTGGGGCTCAGTTACAGGCGTAGAACACGGAAGCTTTGTGTAGAAGGAACGGAGAAAGCGAAGCTCCTTATTGTTTCAAATTTTAGGTGTTTTCGAGTTCTGTATTTCACGACCTAGAAAAGAGGAGCTGTATTTGTGGAGATTCTTTTTTGCTATTGCGGTTAATTTTATTGTTTAGAATTTAGTTGTCTGAACAATGGCAAGACTTGATCAGCTCTCAAATTCCATAATAGTACAAGTTACTGTTTTTCTTCACCGGCTCTACAACCCTTGATGATTTTTGGCCTCAGTGACAGCTGTCCTCCAGACTTCTATCCGCTGCCTTTATCCTCCTTCCTCTAATTCCCATTGTTGTCAGGTACAGTCACATCTTCTATCCACCTCATCCTAGGATATCCCCTTCTTCTATTATCAAGTCTTCCTTTCAGCATTCTTTTTGGCATCTGTGTTTCTGGCATTCGTTCTACGTGGCCCAGCCACCTTAATCTCTGTGCCTTGACGAATCTCACTATGTCCTGACCCACTATCAATCTGTCAAGCTCCTGGTTATATCTTGTTCTCCAACCATTTGTATCTTGGACCAGTCCAAATATTCTCTAAGATTTTTCTCTCAAAACATCTGGGTGCATTCTCATCTCCGGTTTCTAATTTCCACGTTTCCGATCCATATGTGACGACTGGTCGCACTAGTGTTCTATATATTTTACCTTTATTGTTACTTGTTAACAGCTTGTTTTTAAGAAGTTTTAGGTTAGCATAATATGGTCTATTTCCATTCTGTATCCTATCTTTAATACAGTCACTTATTTCATTTTGGCTGTTGGCCAGGGCTCCCAGATACCTGAACTGACTCACCCCTTCAAATGTCCTATTACCTATGTTGATATTTTGTGGTATCCTCTTGATACTTGATGCTGACATGACCATATATTTCGTTATCCCTTCATTCACCACTAAACCAAACCTTTCAGCTTCCTTCTCCAATTCTAAGTACATTTGTTTAAGAGTTGATATATTCCTGGTAACAATGACCATGTCGTCTGTGTATGCGCATATTTGACTAGATTTAAATTAGATTGTTCCTTTTTGATTTATTTTATTAACAGCTTGATGCAGAGCAAGATTGAAGAGTACTGTTGATACTCCATCACCCTGTTTTACACCTGCAGTGAATGTAAATGCATTGCTCAGCTTATTTCCTATTTTGACTCGTGCTTTGGTGTTTTCCATAGTTATTCGTACCAGTCTAATTAATTTTTCAGGAAGGTTCATTTCCTTTAGAGCCTTGTATAATTCATCTCTGCGTAGACTGTCAAATGCCTGTTTGGTGTTTATAAATAGCATGTTTAGGTCGCGTTCATGTTCATAGAACTTTTCCATAATTTGCCTAATTATAAAGATTTGGTCCGTTGTGCTTCTCTGGGGTCGAAATCCACCTCTATAATTTTCACATGCCAATTTGTCACCTTTCTTGAAAATGGGACATATCATACCCATTTTTGAGCTTTCTGGCATGATTTCTTCATCCCATGTTCTATGAATCAGTTTATGTATAGCATTCTCCAATCCCTCTCCTCCATATTTGATCATCTCTGCCACTATCCCATCTTCCCCTGGCGCCTTATTATTTTTCATCTTTATAATTACCTCTACTACTTCCTGTCTTGTAGGGTTCATCAAATTTTCTGCTGTCTGTCCATTTGATGGGTTGGAGAAGTCCAGCTGTCCATTCCCAGGAACAGTGCTTTTGTTGAGGAGGTCACTAAAATGTTCTGCCCATCTGTTCAATATAACTTTTTCTTCTCCCAGCACTTTCCCATGCTTGTCTCTGCATCTTCTTTCTCTGGGCTGAAATTCCTTCCTTATCCTATCCATAGCTGAATAGAACTTTTTAATTTAATATCTCTATTTCTTCTATTTTCTTTTAGTCTTTCCTTTTTCTTTCTTTTGCATATTCTGTTAGCTCTCAATCTTAGTTGTTTATATATTTCGCAGTTCCCTCTTGTTTCTCTCTGTATCATCTTCTCCCGTGCCTTATTTTTTTCGTCTCTACACTCTTGATCAAACCATTCATTTCTTAATAGTCTTTTCTCTCCTATCTTCTGTTCTGTTGTTTTTTTCACTACTTCTTCTATTCATTTCCATTCCTCTTCAATACTTTCTTCTTCTTCTTTCCCTTCTAATGTCGTATTTCTGTATCTTCCAAGAAGTCTGTTCTAGGAGGTCATAGAATTCTTCTTTCCCTTCTTCTGCCTTATCTTCAGTAGGTGCATATGCTGATATTATTGAGATGCTTCTGAACTTCCCTCTTACCCGTAGCTTGCAGATCCTCTCGTTGACTGCCTCGAATTCCAGTATGCTCTTCCGCATTATCCTTTTTACTATGAACCCAGTTCCATATAGGCCAGTTCTCCTTTTAGGTCCACTATAGCAGTGGTATTCAACCTTTCTTGTTTACATACCCCCAGATATAATTTCTCTTGAACTTTGTACCCCCAAAGTCGGTGTCTAATTCAAGTTATACATAGTATATAATCTACACCTAAAATAAATTAAATAATTTTCATTACTGATTATTCAGTGTTTATCATAAAATAATATATATATATTTTTAAATTTCACGTACCCCCTAAGATGTCTTCGCGTACCCTAGGTTGAATACCACTGGACTATAGAATAGGGCGTATTCTTGTTTATCTATCTGACCTCTTCCTTGCCATCGTATTTCTTGGAGTGCTACTACATCCAGTTTATATTTAACAATTTCGTTTTCTATTTCATTCATCTTGCCTGGTCTTAGCATGGTTCTCACGTTCTAAGTTGCTAGGGTTAAATAATTTTTCCTTGTCCTATGTTCTATTCCTTGCCCATATCTCGATTTTCCAGTAGATCCATCCATCCATCCAAGGCTGTTGTCTTTGTTTCATAACAATCTGTGTTTTACAGGTGAGGTTGTTAACCTTACGCCCAACCCCTAACCTGGTGGACCAGGGTTTTTCTCTTTGTCACCAAACGAACAAACTTTTATTGTACCTTGCACATTCGTTGTTGACCTCTTTACGAAATGTGTTTCGGATCTGATGCGTCCACTTTGTTCCAGTACCGAACGTGATTATTTGACTCCAACCCAAATCGTGCTGCAAACGAATTTTGCTTCCTTTCCTATATTCTGTGGATCGTTAACTTTGTAGTTGACATTAGAGCAAACCCAGGTTTTCCATTTATACAGAGTTTTGTGAACCGTACCATTTAGTTTTACGCAAAAACAGTTTTAGGCGCATTCGCAATTAAAAGTTGCAAAAAATGCTCCCTTTATCTTCGCTGTCTGTCTGAAAGACCAAAGCAGTTTGTTATTCCGAAACATTCATATCTATCTACAATCCACACTGCTTTCCTGCCCAGAAGACAACATCGACATCTTCAAAGTTACGAGAAACTCGAGTTTTATTATTGCTTCAGGGGCCCATATAAGTTGTTATTTTGAGTTTGATTTAGAAACATAGATGATCACTTAATACTCCTGGCTTACATAATTACGTTTAATTACTTCCATACGAAAAATTTGTATGTACTTGTCGCGTATTCCAGTGTCTATGGTCCTAACTTGCTCTGCAGCCAGCAGCAGCATTTCGAGTCATCGTGCCTCAGGCCTGATTTGCCCTATTGCGTTACATTACCTTACGTTGTTCGACGTTCACGTGTTTGCTTGAAAATTGTGTGGCTGGCTGTAAAAGTTTTGATCACGTGACATAAGTTCACTATGTGCGCCTTTTGCAGCTTTACACATTACGAGACGAGAATCCAGTTCTTGCCAGGCTCGATCCGTTGTTTCCAGAGCAAAACGTTCTACCGCATCTTTGGTTCTAACTTTCAGCTCTTCTAGACTCGTTGTAGTTCTTGACAAACCACCTAAAATAAATTCTACTGGATTTATGTTAGGGAACCCAATATTGTAGCCGAGTGGTAGGCACGTGTTCAGGAGTTCTTGTGCTCATATCTCGGCCGGAAGACAGTGTATCTTGACAGGTTTTCTTTAGTTGCGCCACGTAAACGCTGGAATGGCATAGTAAATTAGGCCACGACCGCTTCCTTCTGTCTGTTCCAATTAATTATTAATTAATTTTACTATAATGTGAATCTGTATAATATGAAACAAACTTTTCTGGACATTATCCAAGACTAAATAAAATCTATAAAACCACGACGTTTCGGAGATGGGAGTCGTATCTCCTTCAGGTAAAATCTACTCTGTTGGACCCAATCAATAGAGCTAATCCCTATCTGTCGGTAGTTGACGGCCACTTTCGTCGAATCGAAGAGCAAGGACAATTTTTGTGTCTTGTTGGTCTTATCAGCCCTACTCCACGTGCACACCGTACACGTGGCCAAGTGGAAGAGTCCATTACTTCGTGCGAGTAGGTGAAGTCGGTGGTTGTGCAATACGCTTCGTACTTTGCCTGCATTGAACCCGGCGACAATGAATGTTTTGCACACACCGCTCACGTGATCAGCGGAAGAATACATTATTTCGTGCGAGTAGGTGAAGTCGGTGGTTGTGCAATACGCTTCGTACTTTGCCTGCATTGAACCCGGCGACAATGAATGTTTTGCACACACCGCTCACGTGATCAGCGGAAGAATACATTATTTCGTGCGAGTAGGTGAAGTCGGTGGTTGTGCAATACGCTTCGTACTTTGCCTGCATTGAACCCGGCGACAATGAATGTTTTGCACACACCGCTCACGTGATCAGCGGAAGAATACATTATTTCGTGCGAGTAGGTGAAGTCGGTGGTTGTACATTGTCGGTAACATATACTTTGAATTTTGAGTGTTTCCTAAATGAAAGGGAGTTGACTTAGATTTTATATGCGGGGTTGTACCCTGTAATGAGCACGCCCAAAGTTGTAATTAAAATAAAGTGGCAGTCTCCTGCTTTAGTGCAAATAGTAAAACAATGAAGATACTGTAGGCAAGAACCGGTGATGAGAAACCTTTATGCACTAAGGCCAATTTTAAAATGTAAAAACCCAGCGTGAGCCGCAAACCAGTTGTTAAAACTGAAATTAATATAATTTCAAAAACATTTTGCATTAAGCGTTTCAGTGACAAAAGGGTTTATTGTGAATGCAATGAAAAATCGTATTTAAATTGTAGGATTTATACGTATATGGGTTTTCTTAAGACTGCAAAAACGTCATTTAGATTCCGTTCACTGTTTCCTTGCCATTATATTAACGAAGGAATTGAAAGAAGATTAATTTAGAGTAACACTTGTTAACAACCAGATCACAATTGCATTTTCCCATCTGCCATATAAACACAGGAAGATTTACAAAAATAAATGTGCGATATTACCAGTTGTGGGAAGAATTGAGATAGAGGAATTTTAAGAGCGTAACAGGGAGATGGGTGTTTATTTTATTCTTTATTTATCAAATCTTTCAGTAGCTCAGATTACATCCAGCAGAATGTTTAGATGTCTAGGAAATGGTCGTCGAATAATTTTAAAAAATATCCCGGGTTATGTCTGGAGCCTTTGGAAAATCACAAAAACTGAGGCAGGACAGTCAGTCTGTCTGCGAGCCAGGTTCTGAAACTGGGAAAGTATCTGGACCAAAGAGCCTACAGGAAACTGCAGTCAGGGATTCCATGGTTCCGACGTTTTCAAATATTATTAGGGTAATCAAAATAAATAAGGATGAGATCGGCGGGGCACCTAGTACGAATGGGGAAGATGAGATTACTCCCATGAAAGAGACCATTTGGTATACTAAAACGTTGACGGGAGAGTAATATTAAAATGGAACTGAAATTTGAAATGAAGGAGTGGCATGGAATTTAACTTACTCAGAACGGGCACGAATAGTAAGCTTTTGTGACTACGGCAGTGAACTTCGGATTTTATAAAAAATCTACTGTTTCCCCTAACGGGTTTGTCACTGCTTATTGTTACGACAATGGCATTGATTATATAAAACTGGTTCTTTCCACCGGCCGGAGAAAATCCCCGCGGTGTGAATCGGATCTAGTGCGATTAAAGGAGGGGGGGAAGTTTCTAACCAGGTGGACTAAAGGGCTGCTATTGGTGGGAGGTATATCACGCCACCCAGTTACACTGCTACACACAGACTAAAAACATCAAGCATTTAACGGTAGCATGTCGTGATTGTATCTGTACTGTATTTTGTAGGTGTTGTGATAATATTCTTGATTCAACCACTGTACCACTGTGAGGTAATCTTAAAGCTATACCCATTAGAACACGCAAGCCTTGGGTCTGTTGTTCGTTAATGGTTGTGAAACGGATGCTTTTAGGATGGCTAGTAGCAAAGCGTCACTTGCGCGCAGTTACATTTCAAACTTGTTATCGTTGGTCAGTACAGTTAAAAATGCAGCCACCAACGTTCAGTATTTGGCGTGTGCGAGTGTTGTAAGGTAGCAGTTCAGTGTTTATCCGTGGCATGGTTTATATTTGTAATTTGAAGTTGTGTGCAGTTGTTTGCGTATGTTGTGTCCGGTTAATGAAAGAACACCGCTAGAAATTGACTGCAATGATGATTAATGTCGAGTAGGTTGGAATTCATTTCTGGTGCATCTTCATTCTAAGAACTGTAATATGCGCGTTAATGTTCCTCAATGCTGAGTGGCTCTGCCATTGTTAACTGCATCACCGAGCTGCGGTGTTATTGCACTTGTACCATATTCCAATGTATGTGACTTGGACAAGGAAAATTGAGTACGTTTATGCATTAATATTGTTGGTGTTTTACAATTATAAGGTAAACATGTCATTCCGAGAAGTAAAGAATTTTGCTCGAATTGCACGTAATGACAAAAAGCCACTTGTCGGTTTGTGGTTTGAACGCATACTACCATCTTCATAAGAGGACTGAGAAATATGTTTATAACATACTTTATTAATATGAAAAGCCTGGAAGCCCATTGCCCAAGAATCTGTACTGTTTGTTTGTAGGGTTGACCAGGGCAGAACAGGGTGTCGGCTTTATTTCGTCTGCAATGCGTGACCGGGTGAAAATCCATTGACATGTAGCACAGGGTTATGTCATGTCAGTCAGCGCCATTTTGTGGTTACAGTTTCTGAAATAATCACCCATGCTGGATTGTGTTCCTACATTTTACAATTTTTTTCTCAACTTCCAGTGAAGGTAAAACCTATTCATTATTCATATCCACTTTGTTGAATAATGCATGTTACATGGTGTTTAAACACAGTATTTTTAATTATTTTCATGATGTAATTTTTGGTGGGACAATCCTAATTTGAAAGAGTATACTCGGGGCAGAATGGGGTACCCAGAGAAGAAGATCAAATGACACGTGCCTGTAAAGTGGCGATGTCTATTCGCAGTCTATCGAAGGGTGGATCCGGTATTCGACTTGCTTGAAATGGGCCCATAACACAAGTGCAGGTGTTGGTAGACACGATGATGAAGAGGTGCACGTGTGTGCCGTCTACATTAGGCCTAAGTAGATTTCAAATGTGTAAAGTTTCGACATTTTACATTGCATACCAAATCATTTTTATATCCTACGTCATAATTATTAGATAATTGGCTTATTAAAACTTTTCAAACACATATTAACCATACTCCATGTTGCTCCAGGTATGGTGTTTATCTTTATTATTGTCCCTTCCACATGCCTCCACAAAGATTAAGTTCCCTGTTCTGCCCTGATCTCCCCTATATATATATATATATATGCATATGCATGCAGGCAGGAAACTAGAATTTTTGGATGTTATTCCAGGAGCTCAATACTAGACGCTTTCTTGATCCTTCAGAGTCTGCTAAGTGATAAATTGTGTCACCTATGTTTCTGTGAATGGCAGTGCAGCAACACTTGATATCACAACCCAAATTTAACCATAAACTGAAGTGTGTTCTTAAGAAACCTCATGTCAGTGGCCCATCTTTATGTGCATTGCATCAGCATTAGGTCATATTGCATGTGCATACTGTATATGAGAGTTACGTTTGTCCAAGAAAATATAGTGCTTTCAAGTAACACGCAGCCACTTCCTAGTAACATTTTCTGGAGCTCAGTTTTTACATTATTGTATTTCTGAAAAGGTGCTGTAAAAACATATTCACTAAAATGCGTGACAATAATTAAGAGAACTGAGTGGTTACCACAAAAGTTGTTTATGGTGAATTTGGTGTTTGGAATACAAAGAAAACGTGATGTCAGGAATCCAGTCAACTAGTCTTCACAGGATCTTGTACATTTTTGTTTCAGGACTGGAAAAGTTGCCGCCAGGGTCCTTAATGGTGACTGCGGAAGTAGTAGCAGTAGCTGGAGTGTAACAAGTAAGTGGCAGTATGATCTTGAGCTTTTTCTTGCATTTAAGTATAACAAATTCTTCGGTTGCCAGCCATGTCGTGTGGTTTAAAGATGAAAAACCATTAATCTTAAAACCTTGAATACAGTGTAGTGTATTGGAATATAAAACATGCATACAAACGTACACTTTGAAGGACACTAATGCCAACAACACTTGGTGACAGAAACATGATGGGCTCCTCTATTTCCAGTTTTTTTTCCTGAAACCTTCCTGCAAGAAATTGGAAAAGAAATTGTACCCAGATTTAAAGAACATGTCCACGACATTAGATTAAACTTAACTAAATAAAAATACGCCCAACACATCGTCGATCACTGACATGAGTACGACCCCATGGAATCCATTATTCACATGGACTAAGAGGAGCATTCATTAAAGTAATATTTGTGTGACTGCTATGCTTCACAAAATCTGGGACATGTTTAAGGCCAAGGGCACACAACCCATATTAAAATACAATGTGATTGAAACTTTTGTTTACAACTGGAAGACAGCAGGAGAACTTTCATCACTGAAAATCTCAAATTTTGCATGTTCCTTCTTTCTCCATTCATTCACTTATATTCAGTATATTTCATACTTGAAAGTTGTGGTAGGTAGGAGTAGAAAGTGTTAATATCAGATTATCATAGCTGTATCTACTGCATTAAGATATAAGGTTAAGGTACAGTTATCATATTTATAAGACATGAAGATGTTTAGGGGACATGTATTCTTAATAATCAGCCATGCACAGTAAAATCTAGTGATGTGAATGACTTTTAACCATTTATATTCACCATATCCCAATGCTATTCAACCAGCGGATTTAAATTCTTCATTTGTGCTTGGAGCGTAGCTGGATATAAATTTCCTTCATTCTGCTGTGATTGTCGCCGTAAAATTTTAATTTAGTTTTCCTGTTAAAGAGTCCAGTGCAATTACGTTATGTGGAGAATTAATTTTGTGTATTGTGTTTTATTTCAAGATACTAAATTGGTCAGCTTTGGATTAATTTTGGCCCAAAATTCCAGTTATGTGTAATTAAATAAAATTTGAAATTGATTTTTTTTCCTACAGGAAAATGCTACTACAACAAGTGATGCAGATTGGATTGGACTGTACTAGAGTAGCACAGATCATACTCCTCCAGAAATATTGAAGGGGTATAAAGGTAGGTGTCGAAATCTACCTCTGTAATTACCTATAATGTGCTGTAGGAGAGCGGTAAGGGAAATTATGTAGCCCATGCTGTAACATGAGATATACTGTACCCAGGCGAAATGATCTGAGTTGTGACTATGAAGGAGATAATGTTTTAAATAGCATATAATTACATGAACAAATTATGTGACAACCCCAATATTTATATATAAGATGAATATTTCTAAAATATGTAAATCTGTTACTGTTCTTATTTTTGTGTATGCTATAATAGTTTTATTTTGGTGACATCATATAAACCATCTTCAGACTCACCGCTGTGAAGCCCTCAAATCCTGACAATTGGTACTTGACAAAACCAAATTTCTAATATTGTATAGCTTCATATATTTTAATCTTTACATTTGTATATAGTAGATGTCTCCCTATCATAGCCACTGAAATACCATGTCCCAACAATATTAAGCAGCATATATAAACCATGTCTGTAATTACCTATAATGTGCTGTAGGAGAGCGGTAAGGGAAATTATGTAGCCCATGCTGTAACATGAGATATACTGTACCCAGGCGAAATGATCTGAGTTGTGACTATGAAGGAGATAATGTTTTAAATAGCATATAATTACATGAACAAATTATGTGACAACCCCAATATTTATATATAAGATGAATATTTCTAAAATATGTGAATCTGTTACTGTTCTTATTTTGTTGTATGCTATAATAGTTTTATTTTGGTGACATCATATAAACCATCTTCAGACTCACCGCTGTGAAGCCCTCAAATCCTGACAATTGGTACTTGACAAAACCAAATTTCTAATATTGTATAGCTTCATATATTTTAATCTTTACATTTGTATATAGTAGATGTCTCCCTATCATAGCCACTCTGTGCTGTGGGAGGATTTTCTGCTTGGGGATTTAATTTTGAGCTTGAAAGTGCATCATTTTACTTATATGGGCACAACTTCCATAATAATTGATGAATTTAAGTGAAACTTTGAACAAAATGTTCACAAGACACTGTGCTTCGGTCGTCTACAGTTCTATCAATGTGTTGAGGAGACAAAAAAGTCTGCTACTCGAAGCCATAATCGCGGCTGACTGACGGCAGATATGTGCTACAGAAGTCCGTTCATACCAAGGGGAAAAAAACAGAAAATGCATTGACTCAGCTTGCTGACATC